TGCTGAACAGGTCTGAGCAGATTACAGTACTGTTGAGAGGGGTCTTACCCTGGAGCACCCTTCGCCGTGTGGGTTGTACAGCCCCTTGAAGCAGAGTAGAGATTTTCAGTGTTGGCCTCCACAAATAAAAACTGGTTTGACAGTTTCCAGGCTGGTGTTTGATGATCAAGGGATTAGTGAGACAAAGTCAGAGCAAGGCGGAAGTATAGTATTTTTTTATTTAACCTTTATTTCACCAGAAAAAAAAAACTCCCATCAACCTTTGCAAGGGAGCCCGTGGTAACAACAGCATTAAAAAGTTACTGTCATAAGAAAAGCTGTTTCATCTCTTTTGGAGTAACAGCTAGTCAAAGTAGGACGTGTTCTGGCAGCTGGTACGTGTTGACATAGTCGATAATGTTGCTTACAAATCTTGAACTGGAACAAAAACCTTCTATTCTTTCAAGGGTTGAAAGTACACTCCTCATTAGCCGCTGCTGTTCACTGCATGTTGCTACAGGAAATTCTTACAAATCTTACAAATATCAGAAATGTGTTTAAGGTACAGGATACTCAGTTAGGTTAAAATGTGAGTTTTGTACCAATACGCTTCACACAAATAGATAAAAGAAGCAACAATCTCACAACACGTGCAGCATTTAGGGAAAACACTGCAAATACACAAATAGGAATAGACTACAATGAAAATGTTTCCAGGGGACGCTAAAAAGTGACGGTCATTGCTGGCACATGCTTGTTTTGTTTGTTTTTGTATTATTATTCATATTTATATTATTACTGTTATTTTTATTTAGTGATGATGTGGTAAATAGTGATATGTATCACTATTAGTTATTGATGTGCTAATAATATTTTGCCTGTTTGCAGGTGTTGTCCAGGGGGCTGAGCTCTCAGGGCCACTGTACCATTAGGACACACCTTTACAAAATGTTAAGTCAAGATCCAAAGAACAAAATGAGTCACTCTGTGCTGATGTGAGACGTCTCAACTCAGTAAAAGAAAACTTGTTGATTTGGGTGTTTTTGTTTTCAAAGATTGTACTTTAGAACATTGTTAATATAAGTATAAAACTGTATGAAATATCAACCCCCCAGCTTCATTTGAAGCACACGAAGCCTGAAAATACTGTTCTCATTTTTGTCTCCAATGATTATTAGAACTAATATTCAACGATTCCACTGAAAATCCTCTTTCTTCTACACAGTTTTTATTCTGATCAGCTGCTGCTTCTGTAACAACTTCACTCATTTGATCATATGAAAAAGTTTGGACATGAAACTATGTGAAACTACTCTGCTAACAAAAACAGCTCCACCTTAACAATCCATTAATGGAACACTGAGGGCTACAATCAGTTAAAGGACAAAAAGTGGAGGTTTCCTCTGTGGGCTTGGTGCAGAAACCTTTCTCTAAATAAAAAGACCAGACCCCACTGGCCATTCATTAGAACTTCTGAGTTGCCAGGTTGTGGAAAATCCTCCCCCAGAATGACTAGTATAAAATGCAAATCAATAAGTCAAGTCACATTTTTGTATAGGGCCCAGTATCATAAATTTACCCGAAGGAGTTTTGCAATGTCTACTGCATATGACACCTTTTGTCCTTAGACCCTCGAACTGGATCAGGAACACCCCCCTTAAAGGCTTTCAAGGGGGGTATAAAGGAAGAGCAACAGAGGAGAGTCAGGAAGAGCATCCGGTGTAAAACACGTGCCAAATGTCAACATGCAAGTCGTCAGTGTGACGATTTGATGTGGCGACCCCTAAACAGGAAAAGCCGAAAGAGACTTTCTTAACAGAGGAGGGGCTCCTCTTCAGGACGGACAGGAAGCAGATGTTGTGTATAGAATAGAGAAAGTGAGTAAATGTTTATCTGATATGATTGAAAATGTGAATAATAATAATTTGTTTTTTTTTTATTGTTCAGAATTTGGACCTTGAGTCTGCAATAAAGTTCCTATCTAATCATTTTTATAAATGGATTTTTGGTGCATATGCGAAGCAGCTGTTTTTCAAAAGTCGTCCGTTTAATCTCCCTGATGAGTCTGAGATAACAAAAACAAGGTTTTCCACAACCTGGCGACCCAAAGGCTGTTCTGGATGATGTGCAGAGCATTCGTGAATGACTTATTAAGGTTCATTACAGCTTATAAACCCTATAACGGTGTCTCATCAGTGAACTGAGCAGAAACGGATTTGCCACAGATGAAGGGACACAGGACTGCGTGCACACTAGCAGAGACCTTTATTAGAACCTGTAGGCACTGTGGATCATGTCCTGGGCAGGTCTACTCTTTGGTCAGAGTCTTTAACGTCCTCCTGCTCTCATCAGGTCTTCCAGAAGTTCGGGTTCTGGGCCATCCGCCTCTGGAAGTTGTCATACCACTTGAGGATGCAGCTGGAGGGGATGAAGGTCTCTGTGGGGTTTGGCGTCATCTGCGCCTGCGACACCGCGAAGGAGGCGGCGAAGTTGTACAGACTGTCCAGCATCTTCTGGGTGAATTGCAGGAACGAGTCCACAGTGGACACGGCGGCGCTGGACACCGGAATCTGCTGGGCCAGCTGCTCCAGAGCTTCCACCGACACACCGACCTGGGCCACGGGGTGGGACGAGGAAGGGGCCATCATGCCGAAAGGGTGCGCGCCACCCTCTCCGGTCTTCAGCCCAGAGATCTTGAAGATGGCGCTGGGCTTGTCGTTGGTGATGAAGCCGAGCAGCTGCCACACCGGGCCGCCGCTCACCGGGTCCGGGAAGGAGAAGTAGACGGCGCCGCCCATGCCGACGGGGAACGGCACCGTGCCCAGCATGAACACCACCACATGGTTGACGCTCTCGTAGTCCGGCAGGTTGAACACGAACTTGTCCGAAGCGATCTGCACCGCGTCCGTCTGCACCAACCTTCCGGCGACCAAACACCCGAACATCCCCGCAGGCAGCTAGCTAGCCGTTAGCCTCTATGTTATCCAGCTCTGTACTGTGAACAGCGTTAGCTTTAGCCTAGCCTGCTAGCTAGTTTATGTTAGTGTAGTATCCCCGACCCGCGGAACTTGAAAAAAATGTTGAAAAACGGAGCACTGGGCCTGCTGATGCTGGTGGTGAACATGGAAACCGCACAAGGGGCTCGCAGAAACTTCTAGTACAGCCTGTCATGTTAGTACGCCCCCTGCATCTGCTGCTCGACAATCGACCCAACGGCCTAGACAGCTGTGAGTTGTGTTGTAAACCCTTCACTAACCCTTCACTTAGACTGACAGGCAGATCATTCTCTCTGTGCACTTTTCGACCACGATTAACAGACTCGAGTTTCGACGTCAACTTTCATACAATCTTGATAGAAGATACAACACTTTACTGGTTTGATATGCGTGGCACATAGTAAATGGGTTCTACCTGGAAGACATATTTTAGGGCAACGCTGTACTGTAAAGTTGTGTAGTCGTTCGATAATTCGTTAATGACTTGGTAGAACTACAGATGGAACCAGCCGAGTTTTTATAGGTTCAGCATGAATGACACCGGAAGAGAGACTTTTTGGCGCTACAAATTAAGACAAAAACTGTCGTGAGACAGCTAGTAGTTGTACCAATAAAAAATTATAGAATTCATAATAAAGATATTTTATTTAGTTTTTATGTTGTGCACATTGGGGCCTATTGAGCTGGAGTCAAATTCCATGTATTCTTGAAATACTTGGCAATAAAGTTTATGTTTATGCTTACGACATGGGTAAAGCCTTTTAAAACTAGTGTTTCAAGTAAAAAGGAAATCTCAGGGAAAATTTAAGCAAAACAGGATACACCATCATGCACCATCATATTTATAAGCCAAAATGCCAGAAGTTCACACTTTTCAGCTGCGTCTAATGTGAACACTTGGTGCTTTTCTATATACATTGTTTTTACTGTATAATTTGATCTTGTTTGTATGCTCAACAATGCATTGTTTCAGCAGCTCAGAAAAAAGAAATACCAAAATCTGTCGTAGTCTGATAACTGCATATAGATATTTGAATAAATTGACTTAATGTATGATGATGATTGGTTGAATTTTTAGGTTAGAGTGTAAAATCTTTGCTGTATGAATGCTTTTTTTTACCAACTGAAATGTTATGTACCACCCCTGCTTGGTTTTTGTGTGTGTCTGTATTCTCATTTTCTCCATGGATGCATTATGAGATGATGGACCCCTGAGTCCGCCACCCCCTTACAGGGGAGCCACACATTGAAAAAGCTAGTAGTTCCAGCTAGCTGTAAAAATTGTCCTTCACTGATGGCTAATGGCCATCCATTGCTGTACTACAGACCTGCAAAAGTGACAGTGAGAACACATGTTCCACGTAGAGACAGTCTGTACATGCACGACAAGATACAGTACAGTACAAGTGTTTTCTCTGCTGAAAGGGCGGCAATAGGCCCAAGCATCTAAGTCCCAGGTTTGGCTGCTCTCTCTGTCTAGCATCCCTCGTGGTCATACTGAACATCAGAAGCAAGAGCTGGTCATCCTCCTCCTTTCCCTCTTCCTCGGTATGCCTGACCTCCAATGCCCGTCTGTGATTTTCACTTTCTGTTGGCTTCAGATCAGTTGTTCCAGAGCACAATGGCCAACTTTCAGCTTGGTGTGTCATGTTTACACCTGGATAAATGTGGGTAATACTTGAGCTTACTATTTGCTGAATGAGCATAAAGAGCAGTGAATCATTCATTTCAAAACGTTAGTATGGAGTCTTTGGGGGAAAAGTTATATATATTTATATAATGTAAAATGTGTGAAAAATGTTTATGGTTATGTGAAAAGTTCATATCTTTTGAAAAATGGAAGTGAGGGCATGGATTTCCATGCTGAGGACAGTGATTATAGGGCGTTATCAATTGGAGACAACTAGAGTGTAGGTACTTTGGATGAACCAAACAACCGTGGTGTTTTATTTTGGAAAGCGGTTACAGGATGTGTTCTGTGTCCGTTTCCGCTGACTTGACAGCGTAAGCCGCAGTTCAGCTGTGTGTTTGGACCGGGCACTGTGCGGGTCGGACGTGTGCGGCATCTAAATACATTGAAATAACCTTTCTAGTCGTAGGTTTCTGGGCTGACACGTTCTCGCACGGACGAGCGACTTTTAACCGAACCTAACAGGTAAGTGGTTCCCGTTTATCCCGGTTTGTGTTTAAACTTTTGCTGTTAGCTAACCGGGCTAGCCACCGGGGCTATGTAATGTTGCTCGTCGATTCTTTTAAAAATGAAGAAGAGGCGATTTGTTGCTAAGGACGGATGTTTAGTGCCCTGTTCAGTCTGCACCAGCTAGTCTGGGCCGTGCTGTCCTGATTGTTGATGCGTTTGTGTGTCTTTTATTGTGTGTCTGGTAAACAGGACAGTTGATGGTAACTGAGTGTGTGACGTGCAGCCGAAGCCGTGACTCAGGCTGCAGCGTCTCTGAGGGAGGAGATGATGAAGCTGAGGGTTCATAAGTCCAGAGACCCTGCAGGCCTCCAGTGGGACAGGGAGTTAGTTTGTGTCTGTTCTTTAGCCTGGTACTGGCTTCTGACCTTTTCTTGTCGATCGGCTCATAATAAAATGCTGTTTAGTTAGTACCAGTGCGAAACACGTGACCCTCTGGGACCTGGGATTTACCCTGAACTTTGACCTGAGGCGAACTGAGACATTCAGGTGATCTGACACCTGCACTCAGTGAAGCGCTGAGACCCGCTGCGTGTGTTTTATTGTAGAGAAGGTCTCGAGGTTATCTTCCCACATTTAGCCTGTTTGATATTTGGAAACATTACAGATTTACCCAACGTTTTCAGCAGAGTAGCTGGTGTCACCAGGTCCTGAAAGGTGAAACAGGTCAACAACAATCTAACCTCTGAAAAAACAGTTTTTTAAAAACCTCCACTTATCTAATTTCTCCTCAGGTCACCGGCTTTAGTGCTCAGGGCTTTGTGTTTGGCTGGTAAATGGCACGTATTCAGATCCAGAACCACTGCAATCATTTTAAAGCCATTTGTTAGATCTCCAGTTGGTCTGATGTGAGCATCTTCTGCCTTTCAGGACATCGAGTCACACGACTCTTAGAACTGGTGACATTTCTTAATGTTCCTCCATTTTATAGAACATGTGTTTAGCCTGCACAGCTCTCTTTCATACCAGCAGCTTGTTAAAAGCTGGCACACATGAACACCGCAGTGGGATGTTTGTGCCTTCATTAAATCTTGAAGTGCTCTGCAGTGGGACAGGCGGGTATTTTTAGTCTCCGGGAACAGTTTGTGTTAGCGCCGGAGACCGAGTTGAGCTGTTGAATCATTTATGAGCTGCCCTCTCTGTGAAGAGCTCAGATATTCCAGCAGCGTCTCTTCTCTCCCCTCCTGTTCCTGTTTCTCAGTGGGACGGGCACACTGGATGTCCCTCAGGGCTTTAACTGGTCCGATCTGCTTGTTGTCAGCTCAAGGTTCCAACAGAAAAATGTCTGAACACATGTCTGTTTAACAAATGTTGAGACTCATCAGCACGTGAACTAATAGTTAAGAGTCTGTCGTCGTCTAATCATGTTAATTACACAGCTGGTTGTTTTAATTGTGATTTAGGAACCAGTGAGCAGCAGCCCGACACTAGCACCAACAGAAACCCAGTACTGAAGCATCAGACTAAGGCTTCAGCTCAGACTCAGTAGGCTGAGGCCAAGCACTCGTCCTCCTCGTGTTATCACAAGCAGGAAACAGTTTGTCTTTGATGATTTCTGAAACGGTGGATGTTGATCAAAGATTTGAAAAGGGATTTGTTTGGCCACTGAACTGAACAAATCGGGTCTGAACTGATTCGCTACACTCAGGTGCACAGAGAAGGGAAGAGCGAGGTTGTGTGTTTCCACTGCAGAGTGACTTGATGAGAAGAGCTGGACTGTGAGGCTCAGACCTATGTGGACTGGAGCCAGAAGTACACAGGGGCCCTGAGACAGGCCGGGTTGAGGTGTTGCGCTGTGTTCGGTCCAGGAATTCAACTTTTGGAGGATCCAGACTGATCTGGGCTCAGTGTTAATGGCCACCTCCTGTTTCTCAGGCTGTGTCCTGCCTAACTGGAAATAAACATTATTATTCAAAGGTTTGTGTTATATTTTGAACATCTGGAACTTAACATGCAGCAGACACAAAGCGAGCAGAGTCTGTGTGTAGAAGGTGCAGCCTGGTTAGCTGACAGAGGGGGAGGCGGCCACGCGGATTAGATCGTGTAACATGGATGTGGCTCCCCTTTGTCATGGCTCAGGACCTAGGGTTTCACAGTCACACAGCCTGCATCCAGCTGGGGTTGATTTGAGGCTTGATACTGAATGGCTTCTTTCAGTAAACCTGCACAAATTACACCTGTGCTTTTTTGAAATATCCTTGTACATTGTCCTTCCATTTGTGTCTAATAGGATTTAGGAGGATGGCAGAGAAGCACCGAAGTGTCCGTCCACACTGAGAGGGGAGGAGCAGTGATGGAGGGTGCTCACGGCCTCCTGCTTAACGAGGAGGAGTGCAAGCAGCTGGGTGAACCTCAGAGGGCCGAATTCATCTTCGAATGGCTGAGCCACCTGAAGAAGCTCCTCCTGGCCACCAACAGGGTCAGAGCTGCACATTTATTAATAAACACATTTAATAGCAACTTCCAGTTCCTGCCAGTCACATGATTCTCTATATGAACCAAAGTCCTGGGAGTTATATATGTGTGAATATTTCTTGTCCCCTCAGGCTGATCTCAGGCAGAACCAGCGACGTCTGGCCGACCAGCTTACGGCTGTTCTGTTAGGCTCTCCTGGTCCTCCGACCCGATGCCTGCTGGCCCACTGTTTGGCCCTGCTCTACCGCCTGGGAGACCCTCTACCTTCCAGCCTATTGGTGGAGAGGTGCAATGATATTATTCGCAGCAAAGATGACTCGCCATCTGGTCTCCCGACCCGGTTGTAAGTCTGGCTGTGCTCATGGTGCTGGGGAATGATGGGACAACAGAGCTTTAAGCCTAAAAGACTTAAAAAGGCCACTTCATGTTTTTTGTGTCTGTGAGGGCCACAGAGGCCAGACGAGTAAACTAGTGTTGCTTTCGTCAACAAAAATTATGACAAAATATCGTTGTCAACGAGCTTTTATCACGTTATGAAAAGGAGAGGAGATGCAACGTAAATGCTGGTCATGTGACGATGACTATAATTAAATGTATAATGCAATATTGTTGACAAAAAAAACGAGACTAAATGTGGTTCACAAAATAAAAACTACGCTAAAATGTCTCTTCATTTTCATTGACCAAAACGAGATGAAACGAAATGTTATAACATTATTTCGTCTCGTTCAGTCGCGTTATTATTTTGCAGTATTTCTGTTTCCTGTGTCTCGCTTCAGGGGCCGCATCAGGTCGCACTGCACAGACGCAGGCTACATCACTCCCTTAAGCTCCACTCGCGGCATTATTTAGAAGACGACAACAAACAAAGTTAAGTCTGACACAAAGAAAGGGATCGATGGCCGGCCAGCCGGGGTTTGTCATTGGGAGAAAAAGAAGAAACTACATTTGGAAAAACTTTCATT